GAGAGAGAGAGAGAGATGGTGGCCTGAGAAAGAGAGAAGGTTATCGTGGGTAGAGAGAGTAATGTGATGGAAAATAGGGCTTCAATTTTTCTTAATCATAGAACTTTTCACTTTTTTTTTAATTTTACTGAAGTGCCCTTCAAAATTATTTACAGCTATTTAGGAGAAACGGTGTTTTTTGTATATATAGCATTGACACCACTTTCTAAATGTGACCTATTCTTTGTCACACTTGTGAACAATAGATAAACTATATATGTTTGTGTGTGTGTGTGTTTGTGGCGGATATTATAGCTTTCTACTTTTGGGTTGAGTACCATATTTGGGGGTCTATAGTTGTTAGGATCTCTCAACATAAGTGGCGATACCGCTCTGAATTTTCACTCTGGCATTCCGAGAAATGGAGCTTGAAGGGTTCACGATTTTTTAATTTTTGGGATCTCGTTCCCCAAAAGGTTGGTATAAGGAGAGATCCCTTACATTTTGGAATCTTGAACCATAGCATATGCATTGTATGGATGGCTCTCCTAACCATAGGGGTCTTCCATCCTTGCACGATTGTCTGCTCCCGATCCCACTCCCAGTCCCAGCTGCTAGAGTTTGGCGAAGGGGTAAGGCTGCTATGGCTTCTTTATTTTGGGCATATTCTCTAGTTTGTTTAGATGTATATCATGTTTGATGCTTATTGAGTTTGCCTGTTCTTGTTATAATTTATTATGCTTATCTTCTAGGTGAAAAGATCAGCTACAGCAAATTCTGTTAATGGAAAGGTTCTTACTGTCCTCAGCTATTATTTCTGCATTTGTCTATTTTCTTTATATTTTTGTGTGTTTAGTAGCAACAACTTGATTCCTTTCTTGGTTTTATAATATTATTTCTGTAGGAAGGCAGAGCTAGAAATATTCTTCGTGATGTGTTCCTGGCTCATGTGCCGGTGAGGATTTTATTTGTATTTGAAGCTTTATCTTAATGGGTTTATTGTTGCTTCTAGTTTATGTGCTTTTTCTTATGATTTCTATTTTCACAGGTTAAACGCTTTAATTTTCGTCCAAAATGTATTTATGTTGCTGTTATGTTGAGACGCATGATTGAAGCAATCCTTAATCCAGATACCATTGATGACAAGGTAAAATAAAATTATCGTGCAATTTTTAATGGCAACAATTTTTTTCGGTAATTTGCTGAAACACTAATTTTCATTCGTTTCTACTTATATCTTGATGCTGGTAATTATATAAGGGCGCATTTTTCCTTTTTGTGGAATGGTTCAATTTTGTTATACTATAATTTCTGCTTCAGGAGAACAACATACCTGTTCTCTTGTTTGTGCTGAAGCATTTGGTGAATACTTCTTTTTGCATACACCTATGGTGACATAATATTTTTGTTTTCTTTTTGAGTAATTTTGTATAACTTGATGTTTCTTAGCTCATTAATTTTGATATACAAAGTTTGATACTCTACTGACTTTGTAGTCACATTAACCATGTGTACATTGTATACTGTTAATCTTTTCTGAAAGCTGTCATATGCACTAATCTCTTCATTAATTTTTTTGAGGTACGTGGTGATCCCTAAGTATGAAACATTGTATTTAAATGGTAACGAAAACTGGTGAATTGGCACCTCAACTAGTCAATTCGGTGATCTTATACCTGGAGGCACTAAATCAGTCCAAAACTGGTTAAAACCAGTCTTAACCTGTTAGTTTAGACAGGTTGAACCAATGTGATCGGCTGGTTCAGATCTTTCTTGTGGTTTTGACTAGAACTTTAATAGCTTTATGTTTTTTCTTTATATTTTCATAGCGGTCTAACATGTTGGGGTTGTGTGGCCATTTAGAGGCCTTACGTGAGCATGTATTGAAATTATATAATGATACATTGGCTCTAGTGGAGTGTGGTCCAGTTTGGACTGTGAGGCATTACTAATGCTTAGATTCACGTGAGCTTTGACTGGCTATGGCTCAATGGGAGGTCTTAAAACTCGTAGTCTTGAGCATTGTGTTAGCACAACCGATGAGGGTTTTGATGTGGACTTATTCCTTGGTGATGTCGGAGTTGTGCTCAGGACAGTTGGCCAGGGGACATGGATTTGACCCCTGTGTGTGATGGAAGGCTTAAGAAGATAAGGACCTAAATCCTCATCATTACCATCACACGGCATGTACACTAGATAGCCGTTCAGTTAGCAACCCTTTCGATAAGGATGTGTGACGTGTATCGCATGGTCGGTAGCAGGAAAATCTTTTGAACGGCCAAGCCTTTGCTCTCATGGAACCAGATCTATGCATTCTACCTCAAGCCCTCTCCCCCTCCCTCTCATCGCGCCCCTCTTGCTCGCAATCAGCTTAATCGTGCCTCTACGGCTACTCCTGCTTTTGCAGAGGTGGTAGCAAAGAACATCAAATCTTTTGAAACTCCCACTAGAACTCCTCGGGTTCCCACACCTCTCATTTCTCCTCAACAGTCAACTGTGAAGGAACAACCTCTCTATATTTCCGTTCCCAGTTAGTGTTGACACCCCCCAAATCTAAGCTTGAGGCCTCTCTGGTTGGTTCCTTCTCACCAAGGCGAGATGATATCAGGGGGATTGAGAAGCTAGCTAAAATCACTTGGAAGGAACCTAATATATCTTGTAATCGGCTTTCGGGAGGGAAGTTCTTTTCTCCTTTCCCTCTCCACAACTAGCTCAGCATGAGGCTCCTCCTCTCTCTTTTAAAGGAGCCGCAACTCAGCTTCATTCTTGGTCTCCAAAGGTCGGCTCTTACTTTAAACAGAGAGTCTAGCTTACCCTTGATCACATCCCACTTCATGTTTGACCTCCGGATACTTTCAAAAGCATAGTTGCAGTCTGTGGGGATCTTGTCTCTACCCTCTGGAAATCCTTGGAATTTCTTCCCCTTGGGTCCATACGACTATTGGTGGAAGTGCTGGATCCCTACCATATACCTTCCACTCTCTGGTTGAAGGTTTAGGAATGCTACTTTCGGATTGTGCTCTCTTGGTTTCCTGCCGCCCAGCCTTCCCCACATTCCTATATCTGACCCTCCTCCCCAGGGAGAGTAGTAGGGAACTCTCCTAGTGGACCCTGGTTAAACGGAACAAGCGGTCTCCTCTTCTTTCCATGGTTTTCGGCTACCCCAAGATGCAAACGTCACCTGCCGGACGAAACAGGTGCCGTGCGTCAGACGAGCTCTCCCTTCCCTTCGTCCCGTTGTTCATTCGGGCCACTCTTTGGTGGCGAGGGCTCCGTCGGGCTTTGCCCTAGCACGCCCCTATACTCTTCTGACCCTCGTCCAACCCCGGTTTCCCCTTTACCTTTGCGCCCCCCCGACCATTGTTTCCAGCTCACTCCCTCTGCCCACCTTTTCGACTCTGTTCCCCCCCCCCAATCCCGCCCACCAACAGCTGGCTCCATCTTACCTCTCCTTCTATGAGTTCTCAGGCGACCCGTGTGACCCCACCGCTTCTTCCCTGTCCTTTCCCGCCTGCGTTCCTCACCCTATTCCTGTTTCTTCCTCTCTGCCCCCGCCCTCTACCTTCACCCCCTTCTTTCTCTCTGCCTCCTTGAGATGGCTTCCCCGTCGACCAGTGCTCCTTTGTCTCTCCCTGAGACGGCTTCCCCACCAGTCAGTACTCCTTTGTCTCTCCCCTTCCTAGATTCTCCTTCTTACTTTTCGCTCCCTTCCCTCTTTCCCCTTCCTTGATGGACATAAACTAGCTTCCTTTCGGTATAGCATCGGTTCATACCTCTGACTTGTCCCCTCTAGAACCAGACGTTGTCTCTGGTCTGCTGTCTCCTCACCTTCATTTTGAGCCACATATCGTTCGGTTCTGCCACGTGAGAATGTTGCATGTCCGCTATCCCCTTCCTTGCCAATACTAGTCGACAGATTACTCAACTGTGCATGTCGACCATTACCTAGCCTTTTTCCCCTCTTCCACTCTAGTCGTTGCACCTTATCCCCTTTCTGCTCTCTCCCCCTCTGAAACTTTCCCCCCTCCTGTGTACGGGCTTCAAGATGTCTTCCCCCTTTCATTCCCCCAGCAAGCTCCTTCACTCCCTCTGCTCCTCTTAACCCAACTCCCTATCTCCCCCTCCTCTTCAACACGGAACCTACCCTCCCCCATTCCCACTATTCATCAGGACTTGGCCTCTTTCGTCTCTCTAGCACCTTCTTCTGTTGAAGAGACTCCCCTAGTCTCTGCACCACCCCCTACTACTGAAGAGATTCCCCTGGAAATCATTTCCATTGGCACTGCTCATGTTGCCTCAACGATAGCAGAATCAAGCTCCCACGTTGATTTGAACGCCATGGGTGGAAATCACAGGGAATAATGTGACAAGGACTAGAAAAGATGAAGGAAATCTACAAAGTTATGAGTTTTGAACACGATGGACCAGAGCTACTCTCTCACTCTTCTTATAGGCTGATGCTCAGAGTCGCATGAAGGTGAGATCAAAGGGACAAAGGGAACTTTTGAACCGCTTATTATCTCTCTCTTCTAATCGTTTTAAATCACCAACTCAGTGGGGTCACCCTTCCTCGTTTCCGAGAAGGTCAGCCAGATTGACCTCTTCACTGAGAGCTTCTCAGGTTTTCCATTCGAACCCATGAAGCTCCTGTCATGGAATATCAGAGGCTTGGGCCAGCCCCTCAAAAGAACTGCAGTCAAGGATTTGACTGTAAAATTCTTACCAACCATTCTAGCTAACTCTAAAACGAAACTTCTTGAGCCCAACCTCCCCCTTATTAGGCAGGTCTAGGGTCACAGACCTAGCCTCCCGGCCTACAATTGGGGTGGCAGGGAGCATTTGGGTTATCTGGGATCCTTCAGATAACACTCTCATCTCCTACCACTCTAGAGATTTCTTTGTCACCATTCTACTCTCTCGCATCTCAGACGGGTTTCCCTGGAAACTTACGGCTGTCTGCGGCCCTAATTCAGAAGCACTTAGACCTCAATTCTGGGTGGAACTTGACCATGTTGTACTGGCTCACAACATGCTGAAGCAAAGGCACTATTGATAGGGCTCAAACATCTTAACGCTTCTTGGGGATCCCACTTGATTGTTGAAGGGGACTCATACACCATCATATCTTGGGCATCTGGAAAGCTATACCACCCTGGTACCTACTGCCGATCTTTGATGAGATTGAATTCATTTGCAGGGGAATCAACGTCTCATGGAGGCATGCATTCAGGATGTCCAACGCGCTCGTAGATCTCATGGCCAATGACGGAGCCAATCTTCCAAACAATCTTGGACCATCTTAAGCTAGTTGTTGGGCCTTTCTCTCCTTTTTTGTGCTCTGCTCACCTCATTTTGTAAATAGGGTGCTATATAAATCCTTTCACTTATTTTGCTTAGCCAACTCTTTGTTGTCACAAGCATTTATCTCTCACATGGCTTTTTTGTAAAGAAACAACTTGTTTGTAAAGGGATTACTTTGCCCGCTAGGGTCCAGGTAGCTCTCAATTTTTGTAAGGGATGCTAGACCTTACACTTGTACAAACTCTTACTTTCTTCAATGAAACAGTTAACTTTATCAAAAAAAAAAGGTTGTGTGACATGTACATGTGCGAAAGAGATGACTCTTGCAACACTGGACTGTGTTGGAAAGACCCATGGTGCACAATATTGAAATGGGATCTGGACTTGTCCTCAGGGAGGGACCTGTAATCAACGGACTAGGATCATATTTCCTTCATTATTGGTTAACTTTAATAGTCTAATAATGAACTCTGCAAAAGGCTGTGGGTCATGGGAACTATTGGGTCAATTTGAGAAGATGCAGTGAGATGCTGTCTCTAGAGATGATGATGTCCTCAGTATATTTGTTGTAATTCTAATTCTATGAATCCAATTCTCATCAAATTTTCTTCGCTATGTTTTAATACGTTTTAATATGTTTTAATTATTTTTCATATATTTAAAATGAATTTTAAACCCCTCTAGGTATTTTATTTTACTAAAAAATAATTTTTAAATAAAAAATCAATTTTCTGGATTTATTTTAATCAAAGAGAAAAATAAAATATTTATAGGCTTTATAAAAATTGTTTTAATATCTGAAAATATCCTTTAATATTTTGGGGGCCCATTGGGATTCATTAGGCCCACCAAATAGTGGGGTGTGGGGCCGACATGACCACCTATGGTGTGGGGCTCCCCACCTCTTACTTTCTATTTTGTTCTATGGCAAATTAAGCCATGTTTTGACTTGAGGTATTTTGGAAAGTGTGGTGTAGAGATTTTGATTGTTTTCAAAAAGGAAAAGTGTAAGAAAATAATAGGAATAGATTGAATTCTTTTTCTATACAATATTAAATGGGATTAAAGTTCTGGAAATTGAGGGATAATGGTTCCGCCTCATTCTTTTACTCATGATGGCTGATCTAAAGAATGAATAGATGAGATCTCTTCACATATCTTCAATATTAAAGGTCAAGGTTAAGCCTCATAATGATGGCAAAAACCCTAACCCTTGAAAATCTAGCCTTGTTCTATATAAACTAGCTATTGGGGGATTCATTCTGTACACTTGACCTCTCTCTCTCTCTAAGTCCCAAGGGGTGGCACACCCCTATCTAATCTCTTTTTATATCTTCTTTCTCTAAAGTTTAGGGTTTAAGAAAAGAAATAAACCCTTAGGGGTGGCACGCCTGAGCCACATTACCTAGCCAGAGGTTATGATCCCATGCTTGTGTTAAGCATTGGTCTAGGATATCCCATGTTCATGCTTTCTGCTGGTTTTGCCTAACCTTCCTGTGTTGTGAGACATGTTCCTGGACCGAGATCCTATGCGCCATTGGTGGAGGAGACCAGGTTTGTGGTGTACGAAGTCCTTGGGGTAAGGCAAGGTATGCGTTATTTTTATTTGATTTATGCTCTCTTGATTTATTTGCATTTTTTGTGTAATTTTCAGATCTATGATATGATTGTAATTTTGTTTTAATGGCAAGCAAGTGAGAGTTCTTTGTATTTTATTTGGTTTATATATTGTATTTGGACACTTCTGAGTGAGTCGGGTGGTGATACAAAAAAAAAAGATGGAAAAAATTTTAATCGGTATTGACTTGTCCAGTTGCATGGTCCACCTTTCATAACCAGTGAACTAGCCAGTCCTATCAGTTTGAATAATCTAGTGTCCTCACTAGTTTGATGACTGGTTTGTCATGATACCATTGGTTTGAACTTTGAAGTGTGTATACAGTTTTCGAGGAAATTTGGAAGTTTTCTGTTTCTTTCTCTAGCCCTTTTTGAAGTTTACTCCTTTTTTTTAGGACTGAAACAATGTCCTATCCATATTTGGGAATCCGGAATGGGATTGGAAGCTGGGGACCGCGAAGGGCTAGAAGATCCTTGTGATATGGACCACCGTCCATCATGCAAATTATAGACTCTCAATCCCATCCTTTATGGGATCTTGTTCCCAACTTTTTAGAATCATGCAAGAAATTCGGACTACACCTCTGACTTTTACAATTTCCACTAAAAACTAGTTACAATCTATGTAATTTTAAGGATTATAACTATTTTAAGACTACATTTTTTAATTTTTGTTAAAGTAGTGTAATCTTCAAAAGGTTGAGATCTTTGCCAACGCTTTGGGGATCTTGATACTTCATAGTGGGGATCTAGATCCAAAAATTTAAAAATTGAGATCCCTTGAAGCGGTCTTTCTCGAGAACCTGAGGACTATTCCGGAGTGGAATAACCTTGGGGTGGCAATCTCCGTAACTGTGGTCCTATCCCATCTCCTGGCCATTTTGAGAGGAATTTTCTGTGATCTTCGGTGATGCAGTGTGGTAATTGATGGAAACACCTTTGCTGCGACTTGTGGTCATTCGATGGCAAAACGTTTGATGGAAAAATGCCATTTCCGCTCCTTATTTGTGTGGACTATTGGTCATTTTAATCTTTATTTTTAGCCATCTCCACCAACCATATGAATGGATGGTGGAGATGATATAGGAAGAAGCTGTTTTGGTGCTCCTACTGGACCAAAATAAGTGCGACTCGGGACTCTTCTGTCGGATTATGTTTCCAAAATGCCCTTACTCAAATTCATTAATTGCATTGCATAGAATTCCATTATTGTACGGTGATCTATAAAACTTATCATGCCCTCATCCAAAGTAAAAAGATTTATTAGGTTAAGGGCATGTGTTAAATTTATTTTCCAACATCTATGCCATTTTTTGGGTTAAAAATTGTTCAATTTGTAATTGTTAAACTTATAAAGATTTTTTAAGGAAGAATTCCATATTAGTGTTGAATGAGGAAATTTCAAGAATTCCATATTAATGTTGAATGAGGAAATTTCTACATGTGACAGTCCTTTCCTTTCTTCTCTCTTTGGAAGTCAAAGTAAATCATCTATTTTTCCAAACAAACGTGCTATTATTTTTCGAGAGCATATTATTTCTAATTTTCAACTATGAAGATTTCTAATTTTCAACTAATGTTGAACGAGGAAATTAGTTTTTGAGAGCATATATACTTCACTGTTCCAAACAAACGTGCTATTATTTCTAATTTTCTACTACAAAGAAAATAGTTTTCTCATTAAAACTCACAAACTTTTCTCACTCTCTCTCTCGTCCCCCCTGCTCCCCCTCCCCTGTCTCTTCTATGCCCGTGCAGTGCTCAGGCTGATGTTTAATTGGCTTGTAGGTCAGTCAGTCAATCTTGTCTTTAACTGATTATAATGATATGATTCAATCGATATAAAATGCAACATGAGCTTGCGTTTTTATAAGTTGGAGTCATAGTGCAATTACTGAATAAGCATGTCTCTGACTTGATCCTCTATGGAAAATGATATTGAAAATTCAAATTTCATTTACTGATCAAAAGAAAAAAGAAAAAACAAAAAAGAAAAGAAAATGATATCAAGATTTTCTCTTTTTCTTTTTCTTTTTAACTCTGATATTTGATGAGTATGAGTTGTGATTCTTATAAATCATGGGGGCAACACTTTGAGCCCTTCCCTAAGTTTTCAATTGTCTTGGATGGGAAGGAAGGTAAGGAGGGAACAGTTCATGAGACAATTTTTGTCGAAAGTTGTTCATACCTTATATCATGGGTGATGCTTATGCCAGTTTAATACAAGTATATCTATTGTCAGGTTCTCTGTAAATCTTACAACTGCTTTAATCCCACTTACTGGCATACTCAAGGAGGCTGTAGCAACTCGACTTCTTATCCCGTCAATCATCCTTAACTTCAAATTGTTAAGTTGAATTCTTGGCTTCCTCAATTTTTTGCTAGTCCGCAAGATAACTGTTATGTGTATGTGTCTCTGTACCCAGTTTTGTGTAGAACCTGATTCATTTTTGCTCTGATCAAAGCTTCATTGGCTGTAATAAGAGTCCCCCTTGATTAGGTTTCTTATTAAAATAACACATATTTGATTTGTTTCTTTGGAATTCTTGTCCATTGTCAACTCTTTGGGGATGATTGTTTAAGTATATATACTTTAAAAATTTGTATATGGATTCTTAGCGTGCTTTGTGGTGTAACTTTTCTTAGAGGGAGTGGCCAGGGGGGCTCCTCTTTTGGGGAGTAAGTCTCACTTCCTTAATATCTCTTTTGTATGCTCTTATATTTGGCTGTATATCTAGTTCCACAAAGTTTTGGTTTATCCCTCGTGTATATTGTTTCCAGGTTGTAGTTCTGATGCAAATGATGTGCGGGCCTCTCCTATTTGTCGATTTGACTGATGGAAAAAATTCTTGAACGGGTTTTCTTCTTGTTCAGTTACTTAAAGGATTATTGTTTATGACTATGTTAACAGGATTATGTGGGGAATAAACGTTTGGAGCTCTCTGGCCAGTTGATTTCCCTACTTTTCGAGGTAACACAAAAGTGCCGATATGTGTAGACAAAACTTTTATCATCTTGAAAAATTTATATTTTTCAACTGACTTGTCCTTTTTAGTTGATTTGATGGTTATGCCAACTTTTTGTTACAAACTTTATCATCTATGTTCGTTTTCGCTGGCCTTTGAACATTTTTGTGGCAGTTCAATTTAACTTAATGAAATTCTGACACCGTAAATTAAATGTTGAAGGCCATCATAATTAATCATAATGTTAATGACACTTTTCAGAAGTTATAATTATTTGCACCTGTACTGGATCACTTGTAAAATTATGATAACAAAATGGCTTGATAAGTTTTATAACATCGCCTCAAAAGCAGGGGATTTAATTGGCCAAAAAAAAAAAAATCATGTTGTCATTCCATATCTTCGGTTGTTACACACAATAATTTCTTTCTTGACCAGTTAAATGCCTGCCCTAGGAGTCGGTTTAATACTTTGGTAATTTTTTCCCAGCTCCACTATGTTGATCCTATGGTCTTTTGAATTTGTTGTCCAGGATCAGTTTAAATTCTTAAATTCATTGGTCAAGCAGGAAATTGATAAGATTCTCAGGAAGAGTGACCGATCTAGTGCTTTGAATATGGGAATGGTAAGCAAAGTGATATGTTCTGATCTAATAGCATAAGTTTGTTATTGTTTGTACAATAACTCAGGACGTATTTTTTGTTATGTATTTATGATTTATAATGTATAGATAATATGTACAATAGGATCTTTTATGGTTTATAAATTGCTTTTAGTTGATTTTGTTGAAGGATTTGGCAAAATTCTCTTTTCGAAATGGGTAATATTTTTTCTTCACTGTGCAAAAAAGAATCATGAATCAAATGTTGAATTGTTTTCATCATTCCTTTACTGCTTTTAAGTCTCTTGTGCCAGGAAGACCTTCTTGCCATGGCGTTTACTGAATCAATTCTAAAAGATATGGGAATTTTCTTTTTCTGTGATCTAATTGGTGTAATTTCATACTTGTTCTATTTGAACATCTAGTGGGGAACAGCTGTGTGGTCGTTTCACCAGGTGAAGTCGTTGTAGCTGTGTAGTTTTAGATATTAGTTGATGCTAAACTCCAAAATTCCATGAAGTATGGGGAAAAAGTATCGTACCTCGCCATTTACTAATTCACAGCATGAGAAAATCAGATCCAAGCTCCACTTTTTGCATCAAACAGGCTTCTTCAGGCTTTGAAATCCTATTGGAATAGGAATATGCAACTTGGAACCCTATCCAAATTCTATGAAGAACATTTCTTCTAGTTGTTACTTACTCGTGTCAAACTAGTTCAGCAAGGCAAGGGGTAGATTTGCCCAGAAGCTTAGGTTGCACGCACTCATGGGAATCCTGTCTAGAACCAGTGAAACTTACTATTTGCCTAAGTTTTTGTTTCCTAAATGACTGGCAACATGTCTATTTTCAGTTACGTATAGCAATTAAAACCTTGTACTTACACTTTGGTCGTCGAGGACTATAAAGAGGTTATGTGAGACTACTTTCTTTCTCTTTCATCTTTTTTTTTTTTCTTTTATAAAATGTGATATGTGCACCCAAACACAAACTCTTTCTGTTCTCCTCTCCATCTATACTTTATTTCTCTCCAGGTCATTTTTACATGCTATAATACTATGTCTCTCTCTTGCATTAATCTCCAATGTTCATATATAATTGTGAACTATGTTGGTCAATGTCATTAATTCTTGGCTGGTCATTAGACTGGGTAAGGGATCCTCTCTAGCATCTAACCTGTTGCCATGATTTAATTAAATACACTACACTTATTTATTTTTTAAATAAATAAGGCTGAGGACCTTAAACTATCCTTTAACCTGGCCCAAGCCCGGGTAAAGGAGGTGGGTTGTGTTGGGTAGGCAACTAGCATAAAACTTTGCCACATCTTATTATGAATCCTGAACCTATGTGTTACACCCCAAGTTTTATAACACTAAAATCCTTGAGATGTGGCCGTCGATTCTTAACAAATTTTTTTTAAAACTTCACCATATATTGCACTAAAACAAATTTTTTATTTTTAAGAATCTGTACAAAGTCTACTCATAACTAATATTATCATGAAGGTCTAGATAGACATCTGTTAGGATAAAATTTACAAATGGTGAATTTGAACAAAAGTCACAAAGGGAAAATTTTATCATGGTTATAATTGCTTCTAAAGCTCTTACCGGATGAGTCCAAATAGTCCCTACCAGTGTAACTGGATAGGTCCACACTATCCCTGCATATCCAAACATACCTCATTAGCGTACCGGATGAGTCCAGATAATCCCTATTGGCATAACCGGATAGGTGCACACAATTCCTGCAGGTCCAGATGAGTCCAAATAGTCCTTCCCGACGTAACCGGATATGTCCACATATACTTAAATTATCTCTAAAACTCTTTAAACATAAAAAAGAAGCAATATCGTATATGCAAAGTATCATTGAAATCATTAACAGGAATTCATTTGAATCAATTTAAACAATCACTTTCATTGAAATATCTATAAGTAAACAGTCAAATATTTTGGCAATAATTTCTGAAAGGTAGCAGTTCTGAAGGACATTCCTGAAATGTAACATAATAAACAATCCATTATCATTAGAAGAGCTTTTATGGAAATCCAAAGTTAAACACGAAAATATCACATTTTTACGGAAATGCAATTTCATAAATAATCATTTTACATGAATGGGTACAACTTATAGCGTCTAAAATTCACAGATGGACAAAAATACAATTAAATGCCGAAATGCATAAATCTTATAGTATTGGCAATATTACAATTAAGTGCATAAATATCATAATGTTTTTACAAGAAACAGAATAAAGTCACTTTCACATAAAACATACGATATTTAAAATTTATAATTTATTGAAAGCAGAAGTAACCAAAATTCATAACAGCTAATGGGATATCATAGTTTTGCTAACACAGACTTTTCCAGGACAATGAGATCACTTACACATAAAACTTATAAAATAAAGATGCTGGCCGGAAATATCACTATTTTATTAAAAACAGACTATTTTTTAGGAGGATGGGGTCACTTAAACATAAAACTTACGTGTCTAAAATTTATAACTTTGTACAGAATTAATCAATTTTATTTCTAATAATTTTACAGTGTATAAAATTTCTAACAATAGATAGGAATAATAATTTTATTAAAAGTGGACCATTTTTCAAGAAAATGAGGTCACTTACCTTCATGATGCCGATATGCCCATGGGATGACCATCCGTGAACCTTAGGTAATATAGAGAGAGTATAACACAAATGCATCGAAAAGCAATTGAATATATCAATGGCAAAATACTCACTCTGATGAATTGAGCTGGAGAAGAATCAAAACCCTAAAATTCCGAATTCCACAACATAGAGCATTTCAAACCCATGAACGCACTCTCTGATGCAAAAGAAATGTGATTAAATAATGCAAAAGGTAAAAGAATGTATAGCTTATGACACTCTGAAAAAGAACCAAGCAGGCGAGAGAATCTCAAAGAACTCCATAGTTATAACAATAATGCAGCCTTTAACCAGTCACAACACATCCTTATGCAGATAAGAATTTTCCTCACGCGCTTGAGAGAGAGATGAGCTATCAACCTGGAATGATGAGAGAGGGAGAGAGTATAGCATGAGAGAGAGAGAGAAAGAGAAGACACATTTTTAAAACGAGAGAGAGAGACTTTGATAACACCTCAATTAAGAGGTGTCCAAAATACAAAAACAATGAACTTTTAAAATGCCACGCAAGAGGTAAAAACCCACCTCCTCATGAAAAGTTAAAAAGTAAAAGATAGTGGGCCTAAGGTCCACCCAAATAAAGATGGATCATCCAAATATTTAATAATATTGTGGCTTTTGAAACATTTTAAGAAAAGCTAAAAGAATGGTCCCTATGGTATATTATTGTCACAATGAACTATCATCCAAAATGATTGTTATTATTACTATTATTATTATTTTTCAGTTTCAGAAAAATTTTGGGTCGTCACACTATGTTATGTAGCTCACCCCAGATAATCAAGATAAGGCTTGGATGATGATGATGATGACTCTAAATTTATTTATTTTTACTGTAGCTGTTATCTTAAATGTATCTCAGAAAGTTGTTACATGATCAACTAAAATATCCTTCATTTTTTATTTATTTTTTAATTTTTGTTTGTTTTCACGATTGACTTTATTATTTCTTGAAAGGCAGGGATGCTTTTCGCATGGGCTTTGCATGCATGCTTGCTTGCAATCAATGATTATTTATAGTATGTTGGGGTTCCTTTCTGTTGTGCTAGATTTTCACTTGGCTATAATTTCCAGAAGTATAGAAGTTCTTTTTTTTTCCCCCTTTTCTTCAGCTCCTACGAAGTCACAGAGATGTCATAACAAATGGCCTGGAGCGGGCTATCTCTACTGGAAACTGGGATGTGAAAAGGTTTCGGATGAACCGGAAAGGCGTATCCCAGGTTGGACTGAATGATTTTGTTCTCTTTTTTCCCCTAGTCTTTCCTTTCTTCCCTTACTAACAAACTAGTTCATTCCATTGTTTCTCCTTTTACAGCTTGTTTCTAGACTGTCATTTATTGCGGCCTTGGGCCACATGACACGAATCTCTTCCCAATTTGAGAAGACGAGGAAAGTTAGTGGACCAAGGGCATTGCAACCAAGCCAGGTAAATGTTTTTATGTATGTTATTTTTATGGATTCTGTAGTACATTATCTAAAATAAGCATGAAGTAAATCGCCTGCAGTTTAAAATATTTGATGGTGTGCAAGTTCTCTTTGTTTGCAGTATGCTGAAAATGTTAGTTCTTATTAATACTAATGATTATGATATCTTCCCATTGAAACAGTGGGGTATGCTTTGCCCGTGCGATACTCCTGAAGGTGAGGGTTGTGGTCTTACTAAGAACTTGGCTTTGATGACCCATGTTACAACTGACGAGGACGAGGGTCCACTGATTTCTCTGGTTTGTTATCCTCCTCAAATATGCACAAGTGTATTATACATGATTTAGTGCAAATGTGTGACTTCTTTTATCTTCATGTAGTATTATACTCTGATGGATCGTGTCTCTCTTTATGTTCAAATTAACATTGGTTCGAAACTTGATTCTTGGGATATCTCAGCATGGTGATTCCTCGAGAAAACTTCAAATTTGTAGTATTTTCTTAAAAATCCTTGAAATTCTTATGAAAAATATCTGTATTTCCACGAATAAGATTAGTCCATAAAGGTTTCGAAAAAAGGAAAAATTGGAGAAGCGAAATTTTAGGATTTATGCTTATAAAGTTTTAAGCCACGAAAACATATTCAGAAAGCTCATTTTTGGCATTTTTTTATGTAGTGTAATAACTTCTAATTTTTTTTTAGGTGATAACATAATTTTTCTTTAAAAACATACACACACATACACACACACACACACACGCACTCGCGCGCACACACAAACACAGACACACAGGAATAGATGCTGTCAGCCCATGGGTTGACTGCTACAGTGTAAGCCAATGGCCCAGATTGAATCTGGGTCGATCTGACGCTCACGACCTTGTTTCATATTTGAATTTTCATGTTTGTCTATGACTCCAAATCACTTGAAAATTTAGGCGTGCATTCTACTCATCGAGGTGCAACTAATAAAAATATTAAAAAAATATTTCATACAGTATAAATTGACCAAAATACCGCCGAAATGTTTTGGGGGTATTTTGGTTTTTTTAATATTTTTATTAGATTCTAACGCTCAAAATGTCAAGTGATTTGGATTTGTATAGAAATGAATAAAAATTCTGATACAAAATGAGGTCGTGACCATTGGATTGAGCTCATATTCAATCTGGGCCATTGGCTGACATTGTAGCGGTCAGTCCGTGGGCTGACAGAATTAGTCACTACAGTGCTCCCATACCTCCACCATGCATTATTAAGGGTCTTCAATAACTCATTTATGAGCTCTACCGCCTTAGTCCAGGGCATCCTAAGCTCATAAGGTGTTGGCCCATGCTCAAATTGCCCCACTACTTCCAGCATGGCTTGGAAGCTCGTCAAGCTAGCGACAGTGAAAGAAATACCTGATTGGTATATCTTTGCTCTATGATTGACATACCAGACCCCTATCCTCTTCTTGAAGTAGTTTCCCTATGGTAGTCTGCTTCTTATCTCTAACCACAACCTTAGGAATAAGTGGAAATTAAGAATAATTCTAATTAAGCCCACATAGGGATCCCCTTCCTCGACATAATAATAATCATCTTCTTCCTCATCTCAAAAAATATTTTCCTCTTCTTCTCTTCTTTTTAGTTTTGGCTCGCCTCCATAGTGGCCAACATTTCTTTCTTAACACTGGCTGGTAGTGACTTGCATGGGCCTACATAACCTCTGATATCGGCTGAGCTTTTTGTTACTTGATGTATGCCGGTATTATGAATATTGTTGACAAAACCTGATTCCACTCTGTTTTTGTCTTTTTGCTTAGGGAAATAACAATATTTGAACCCTGATCACCGTGTCTATTTGAATTGGAAGTTTGACATTGTCACCATCTCAACAATAGGGAATCAAGTGAATAACGCCCAATATCATCATCATCATCATCCAAGCCTTAGCGAAATGATTTGGGGTTGCCTGCATGAATCTTGTTCATCCTTTCATCTCTATCAAGGGCCATACCCTTAGTAAGACCAAAGTCACCATATTTTTCTCACTACTTCTATCCTTGTCCTTTTAGGCCTTCCTCTTGCTTTTTTAGAGCCTTCCACTTGCACCAATGCGCACTAAGTTTACACTGTACATGGCCAGTCCATCTACGTCTGCTTTCCCTGACTCCTATTGAAGCCATACCTAAGTTCCTTCGTATATGTTCATTCAAAATTTTATTCTTTCTTGTCTTGCCACTGATCCATCTCAACATCCTCATCTTAGCTACACTCATTCTGATAGGTTGTTTCTTGACTGGTCTTACCACCGTCACATAGTACTTTCTCTTCGGTCTCAATGATATGTGACAATCACATAAAACTCCAGATGCACATCGCCAATTTGCACACCCAGCTCTAATTCTTTGGCGACATCTTTCTCAATCTTTCCATTCTCTTGAGTTATCAACCCTAGATATTGGAAACAATCTCTTATAGGTATTTCTTGACCATCACTCTTAACTATTTCCTCGTTTCTACTCCACAAAGCTGAAAGGTCTGAAATTTGAATTTGAAAACTAGAAAAAAATCACAAGCCAAAACCATATATAGGAAAAAGTCACTAAACCAAATACTAAAATTCAGAAAAGTCATCAAAAAACCCAAATCTATATACTAAAAGAAATATACAAATTAAAAATCTAAAATATAATTTCAGAACTAGAAAGAAAATATAAAATTTGTATCCAATATGAAATGGCCACAAGCTTTGAGTGCGCCATAGGCTTTAGAGTGAACTTGGCCAAACAATGATGATGGGTGTCCGTCGACAACCTCGTGCTTTTCAACTTGGCTCTTTTTTGTTTATTTGTTTGTTTGTTTTTTTTTTTTTTGGTTGGGGGGGGGGGGAGATGTTTGGTTTTGCTAAGGCCAACCATTGTAGTTCTCCTATGGGGGGGCAAGCCCAAACATCAACAATGGAGTCATATCACCGATAATTTGATAGGAGATTTACGGGATGGAAAGGTCTCTTTCTTTTGTTAGCTAACCGGATAACCCTAAGTAGGCAACCCTTTTGAATATTCCCATCGTCCAAATATCTCTCTTTCTTATGCCTTCCCTATGGTTAGCTATTTAGAGCAGCTTATGAGAAACTTCTTGTGGTTAGGTGCGAACGACAGGAAATACCACCTGATTGCTTGGGACAAGGTATGCTTCCCCAAGTCTCATGTGGGTTTAGTATTTGCAGACTAAAAAATGACTACCTTGCCCTCATTGGTAAATTGTGGTGGAGATTCCCCACCCAATAGAACCATCTCTGGTTGGATGGGGTATGGCACAAGTACTGTCGTGAACCCTCTTCCTGGCTCCCTAGTGGTAGAGCCCCAAACAACTCCTCTGGGCTATGGAGACGCTTGCTCTATTGCCTCAATCGGTTGGTATGCAACACTCACTATTGGCCGTGATCAATTGAAAGAATTTCTTTCTTGTTTGACTTATGGATTGGTTGTGCCCCCGCGCAGGTATCATTTCCCCAACCTCTTTCGTCTGGCTAGCTCCCCCTCGCCTTAGTAGCTGCTAACTTTGAAACCTTTGGCCCTGGTAGGGTGTCGAATCCTAACTTTGGGACGCCTTTGTCTTTGTCTGAATAAGAGATGCCGGCACTCTTAGAATTGCCCTCCATTCTCCACGCCATCTTCATCCCATCTTTCGACCAGGATAAGATCATCTAGTCTCCAGCTTCGTCTGGCATTTTCTCGGTTTCCTCTTTTTACCAAACCCTACAGGGCCCCTCAACAGCACCATCCCCTTCCCTATCCATAGCTGCCAGAGCTTGTTATCCTTTCATTCCTCCAAAGGTCCAATTTTTCAGTTGGATTGCCATCTCCGGATGTGTTTTGGCTGTGGACCAATTACAAAGAAGGGGGAATGTTTTGGCTGTGGACCAATTACAACGAAGGGGGGTGCACATCCCTAATTGATGCATCATGTGCCGTAATGAAGCTGAATCCAACGTCCACCTTTTCATCCACTATAGCCTTGCTGAAGTTCTCTAGGGTGGCTTTCTCTAGCTCTTTTGATGCTCATGGGTCACTCCACAGTCCATCCCTTGGCCAAAGGTGGGTATCCTCCACTGAACAGCTACAATGGCTGCCACACTTCCAGTGATTTGGTTGGAGAGAACCATAGGGCATTTCGTGGCGAGCTGATGTGGAGGCCACTCCACAGTCCATCCCTCAACTGTCCTTCCTCTGCCCCCTTGGCCAAATCCGAATATCCTCCTGTGAAGAGCTACAATGACTACTACACTTTGAGTGATTTGGTTGGAGAGAAACAATAGGGCGTTTCGTGGCGAGGTGGCGCATGTGGAGGCCCTATTGGAGAAGGTTCGTGCACTACTCGGTTGCCCACTTCCACCAGAATTGGCGGGCTTTGCTCTTTTTCAATCCTATTCGAATCGCTTGGGCTTCTTTGGGGAGACCTTTAGATAGAGGCCAATCCGAGCTCAACTTGCAGGGAAACCAACACTGTAGTCGACACCGTCGCTATAAGGACGGAGCTAACCTACACAACTAGCAAGGGAATCTTTTGGGCATTTTTTGAGTTCTCAAGTCCCATCTCTCGTAAATTCTGTTCTAGTTTTTTTTGGCTGTCCATAAGGGTTGTATAGATTTTTTGGGCCCCTTTAGACGTTTTTTGGATTCGGGCACTTGACTTGAGGAGCGCCGGATTTTTTGTACACTTCTTTACTTAATACAACAACTAAAATTTAAAAAAAAAGAAAAATATGAAAGATGTGTCCAAAACCCTAATTTTAGAGAGAAGGCCAATGAATCTAAATCCAAACTTGAAAAAAAAAAAAGAGAGACAAAAACCAATCTTTAAAAAAACAAGCAAATACCAAACTAAGTCTGGAAAAATGTTAATAAAATACTAAATCCAATATAAAAGTGAAGTACTTTTCATGACCTAATCAAAGTTGGCTTGAAATAGTAAGCTTTGGTTATGAAAACACCTTTGTTGAGACAGCTTCAAGTCTCACAATAGCTTGCTATTCTTTTCGATTTCTAAGTCTTGTTTTTAGAGGGCTTTTCTCTCTCTAAGTTGTGAAAATGAATTTTGCGGGTTTGATTATCTCCCAAACTCCTCTCTTCCCCCATAAATGGGGAGGGAAATGACAAAAATGCCCTTGCCCTTGGGCCTATTCTGCCCTCGAGCAGAGACTTGGTGGCTACGTTGTCCACCTAGGGGGGTTCTTAGAAGGCCTACTCCAGGCACCCGTCCTAGCCTAGGTAGAGCTCGCCTAGGGCCTCGGCCCACCTCAAGCTCC